CTTGACACCTAGTCACTGATAAATCAGCAGGACGTGTCAGCCTGTGAGCACAGGCACCGGGAATGCCCTTACTGACTTCAACAGAGTCCAAACGTCCACTTTGGATCTTTTAAAAGCATGCATGAAACTGATTAGCAGCATGATTGTGGCTTGAGATATTGTTGCTCCCTGATCTAAGGAAGCGTACTAGCTGTGCATGTCCGCTACTGCTTTTTGTATCCTTTACATGGTGTGGAAGTAGCTCTTTCGCTTTGGCTGTGAATGCTATGGGAGGCACCTTTGAGTCGTCTGCCAGGTGTTGGCTCCCTCATGTCTTCAGAGGTAATGTGCAGTAAGTATTCCATAATTAGTTTGGAATAAAAGGACCATCAAATTACACGGCCTTAATTCTGTAAAAATATTAAAATACATGGTAATCTCTGAGCTTATCTGGAAAACGTTTTCCTCTCATGTCATGATTCCCAGATAAAGGAACGATAAGAGACATAGCAAGATAAGAAGACCTAAAAGGCTTGGGAATACCACGTTGTGTTTGCAAGGAGGCTACATTTCTCTCTGTCGTGTGGACACCACTAGGGAAGGTAGCCACAGGTACTATAGCAGCAAGGTCAAAAACCTGAACGCAGCAAAACAGAATGATTAAGAGTTACAGAGCTGGCCAAAAAGAGGTTTCCAATTTATGGGAAATGCAATATTTCCTAAACGTCTAATATTCAGCTCAAACCATAAAGGAACAAAAAGATCTTGGAAATCTTCAGTGAGCCAGAAAAATTTATTCCAGAAATGAGAAGACATAGGGATTCCAAACACAGCTTGTTATTCAAACCCTGTGTTTGATTAAGCAAATGAAGACCATAAGCCTATGAAAAGGTAAAGACTTTTCGATGGAGCTGTGACTGAAGGAGTTAGCCATTGAACGTGTGGAGAGTGGGGATGTTGCTGTAGTTCTTACCGTTGGTGCTCCTGGCTTGTTGAACTTATGTGGTGGGTAAGTTCACATGGTGAACTGACAGTGCGTTCTGCTCTAGCTGCACCGACTTTGGTAACAGTCCTTGGTCTTTCACGTGGTACCAAATTTGTGCAGTATTCTGTTTTTAACACAACCTGCACATGCATGCATAAAATGAAAGGAAATCTTCCTACTTAACTTTAGACTATTAAGTAAATTAATTAGAACAACCATTTCTGAGCTTTGGGAAGGCTTACGTAATTCTGTTTGTGTTCCACCTATTCAATTTTATTTAGAGAGCACAACCTTGTTTCCTTTTTCTAAACCTGTTAGTCACTGATTCCAAGAAGATAAAACTTAGTGGTTGGATGTTACTGCTGCACAGACTCAGAACAGACCATGGCAGGGACACAGCCACAGAATGCCTCAGTCAAATCAATGGCGTATCTTGGCTGCTGGGATCTTTTCCCTGTTCTGTTCTTGTCTGTTGTTTTCCACTGTAATGTATAAAATCCTCTTTCTCACGTATTTATCTTCTCTCCCCCATTTCTTGTTCTGCAGCCTTTTAGTCAGCTCCTGATGGGCGACAACTAGAACAGAACAATCTAAGGGGAGCTGTTGTGGCTCTTATCTCTGGCACGTTTCACCAGAATTGTGCCTGAGCTGGTTAATTCATAATAACAGTATGCATTGCGTGATTATGTCAAGAAGCCAAAGGCAAGGAGGAAACCAAGGAAACAGTTCTGTAAAAGAGAGACAAGGTCTGTGGCAAGATCTGGGAAGTATTTTAACAGTTACGGGAGAGTATTTATGCTGGAACCAGTGCTTTCTGCTCTTTGAGAAGGAAAAAGTGAATTGCAGCAGCTGAGATGGTAGGACTCAGGGCAAAACTGTAGATCTGTGAAAGTGGTTATACGAGGCAGTTCTTGCCTCTCTTCCACCCATGTGTCTTGCCCCTTCTTATGAATTTACACACCTTGAACAAAAACTGCTGCCTGTTCTGCAAAGCTTGCAGTTACTGAATTCTGTCCCTGCTCATGGATGTAACTATATTGGAAAATCTTTTAATCAGCATAATAAACCTCACTGAGAGTAATAAAAAGAATACTGGAAGGGGAATGCATGTTGGAATAACAAAGATATGCAAAGCACTAATAACAGTAGTGTGTGTGTGTGTGTGTGTGTGTTTTCCATCTGCAACTTGAGTGCATGATTCTCAATACTGTTAGTCTGCAGAGCTATTGCAGGGCTCCCTTCTTTCCAAAGGTGAAAATATCAATCAATAGAGTTTGTGTTTAAAATTATAGTTATCAGCAAATAATTAAATGGGGAACATGAGAACTTTCATTTCCAAAGGCTGTTTTGGGAAAACAAAACATTTGGGGAATGACATGATTAAATCAATGAATGAAAGTCAAATTAAAAAAAATACATATGCAAATGTTTGTACTGGAAAAAAATGAACTGACTTGAGTTCTGGCCCTACAGATTTCCTTCAGCTTTGTAGGAAGCAATTTTACAGAAATGTTATTGCCTGGCATCCAGCCTGCAGTGTGGAGAATTTTAAAAGGCTAAGAATGTAATAGCAATGCTCGCAAAATGCTTTGATGTTTTTTTTCCCCAAAAGAGGTATCTCAAATGAAGCCATAAAAAAGTTTAAAACAATATTCATGGGCAAATTCCCAAAAACAAAGCCAGAGAAAACATACCACATTACATCTTTTTTATTGTACTGGTGGCTCACAGAGCTTGAGGCAGGTCTTTCTGAGAAGCAAGTACCCCTGCTGGATAAGTACAGTCTGATAAGTTATTCTGGACCAAGTGAGGATTCCTGTCCTAAGAATGCTCAACAGGGCCATTTGCAACCTTGTACTTTTACCAGACAATAGACTTACTAAGACCATGAAGTGTCATTAAACAATTCGTTTACCCTGGAAGGTATGTTTGTTTTCAAACCAGATAAAAGTTAACAGCAAACAGTTTTGGTTTGGTTTGTTTTTTTTTTATACTCAATCCTGGAGCAAAGAGGCAACATCAAAGCAGCATTTTATAGGGTATTGTAATCTGACCTCCTATATGTGGGCAGTTTTTGCTGAGTGGGAAATTTGATTTAGAAGACCATCAGTGGCTGGACTTCTGTCCCCAGTGATAGACAGAAGACCAGAATTTAGTTTAGAAACATGGGGATTTGGGAGGTCCCAGATAGGGGCTTTGCATGTAGAGGGTTTGGGGTGTCCTTGGCAGCAGGTTCTAAGGCAGGGCCGGGAGGAGAAAGCTGGTATAAGGGCATAGCATGGCTGCTGCAAGTGAAACAGAGGCAGGAGAAGACTTGCTATCTCAGCAGTGTCGAGTATTCTCATGGTCTCCTGCCAGGGAGCGGGGGGAGGAACAAGGGAAAAGAAGTTAATGTTCCAGTACAGAGTGCAAGAGGTGGCAAGGCAGAACAGCAGTGGCACCCAGCATTGCCCACACTACACCAAAAGGTTACCCTTAAGTAACGACCACTGCGGTGCAGAGTGGATTAATTCACTGTGCAGCATGTTTTTCTTCCCTTTTCCATGTGAAAATCCTAGCCAACCATTGGCTATTTGTTACTTTGTCTATTCACAAGGCAGGGAGTTAACCTCCCTGATTTCCATTCCAATGTATGTAGGATTCGGTAGAAGCCCATGTTTGAGGTCCCTAGGGGGAAACTCTTTCACTGTTCCAATGACTATGCTACCAACCTGGGGGAGCTGTTCTCGGCATATTACGTGGGACTCCAGCACTTGGCTGTGATGGTTTGTAACTTGTCCCTGCAGCCTACCTTGGCAGTTAGAAGGGGTTTTCCCCCTCTCCACTATTTTGGAGGCTCTTCAGTATCCTATTGCTCCTAGCAGCTTCTAGCTGACCAGGTATTTGAAGCAAAGGCTTCTGGGTTTACCATTTTTCCTTCCAGAAGATAGAGCTTGGAGAAATAGATGGAAAGTGCCAATCAACATTCATATCTTGTTAGAGGTGGAAAATGAGACCACCTCCCTGACTGCAGATGTCATGAACTAGCTCCCACCAAAATGAATAGGACTGTTGGAGGGGAGATGGCCTTGGCAAGTGGGTACCTGGCCTTGGGCTGATCTAGGAGTTGCCTTTTAGAGGGGTGGCAAGTTGTGAAAGAAAACTGAGCACTTCTCTCTGCAACCCTTTCTACCTCTTCATGTTGAGAGCAAAACTGAAGTCAGGCTATGAGCCAGAGAAAACATGTTTGTCTGTACTCAGCAGACACTCTTAGTGCCCTAGGGCAAGAAGGATGTAGTAGGAAGACAATGGGCCAAAAATCTGATTTTTGCTAAATAACCTGTACACCTGTGCTTTGTTTACTATGTAATAGAAAGGTGTGTTGAGGACTGACAGCTTGTATAAATGATGCCTTAACATGACTCCCAGGTAATTACTTTGTAACTTTAAGGCTCATGCTTTTGGCTGGGGTGGTGGGAGATGATAGGCTTAACTTAGCAGATGAGGTTTTTTTCTGGATCTTGGCAGTAGGTAGTGCATCTGTGTGTCCAGCTCTGACAAAGAAGTGATGGTCTGCATCCCAAAAGCATCTTTTGAGCTAGTTAAGACTGTGCTAGATTCTCTTCCTACTCCAGAGATTTCCAGTGTCTGATAAGCAGGATCCAGTTGACTGTGGTGGTCACAGTCAACAAAGTGTTGAAAGACCACCTCAGAAAAATTGTGATTTAAAGGAGGAGATATCCTGGTAGAGGGAATCTGGTCCAGTGACATTCTCCCCTCCCCAGACTGCTGTGTTCCTGGAGTGGGAGCTATTATGCAGCATGCTTGAAGAGGTGTATCCCTTCCCAATGATGATGGATTTTGTCACCAGGGAAAATATATGGCTGCTCTGATGCTTGATTAGAAGAGAACCTGCAAAGCGTGGGAGAGGCTTGTGCCAGGGCACTGGTATATAGTGTGTCAGAGTAGCGAGGTGATGAATGCATTCCTCTCTCAAAGAAAGAAGCTTGAAGTTCCCCAGTGTTGTTATATAAAAAGAAAAACTGTTATGAAGGGCTTCTGGGTTGGGCTTTCTCTGGATTTATTTTACTTAACAAAGCTCAGTGATGCCAATGCCAGTAATAACAGAAATGACACATTGTATCTGATTCTTCTAACTCAGTATACCAGATAGATAATTAGGAGATTAAAAGTAAGCTGCTGAAGTACTCTCCCTTAGAAGATCTCCCATGTCTTAGAACATCTCTCTCGTGGCAAAGCATCTGTAGGAAAGGAAGAAACTCCACAACGCGGAGAGGTTGGAGCAGGTCTGTTGTTAACCCACACGAGAATAGACAAAACACTCCTTTGAGGGGTCATCCTTCTGCACCACATCATAATTGCAGCTTTCCTTGTTGAAGACTACTTTACATTTCTCTTTGTTGTAACCAACAGGAGTATGAAAGCTGTCATTGGCAAAGAACAAGTGTTAGATTGAGAGCAAATATTCAATAATTCAGTGGTTCCGTGATTATACCTTGAACAACTGCTGAGTGAGATGTCTCTGAAACTACAACTAAGAACAGATAGCTAGTCTGAGTGCTGCACTGACCCAGCTAGATCGTTTCCAGGGCTTCAGCTGGTGTCTTGCTGCACTGGGCTGTGTAGATGTACCAGTTTGCTCAGAGCTAGCATAGGGATTTATAGCACAGCACTTCAGTGCGACATAAAATATTCTTGGGACCATGTTTCTCTCTCCTCTATTAATTTTTCATTATTGCTAGTTTGCCTAGTTAGAGTGTGGTTTCTGTTTCCTGATAGGAGGGGTGTTACCTGAGCAAAGGCAATGATCGTGATCAAGCCATTTTTCACTCTTTGAGAAGGTAGGATGAAAGAAAAGTAGAATGTTAGAGTGAGTTGTCTCAGAGCAGAGCCCTTCTCACTCTACAGTCTCCTTGTTTAGTGGAGAAAAGCATCTCCAGACAGTGATTCTGATCGTTATGGGCCCTCACGAGTGGCCTCATGTTAAGTATCTAGCAGTATGAATTCCTTCCGGCCTCCGCTTTCCCTGCCAAGGAAAGACTTCATTGCAGTGCGAGAGGAGTTTGCTGCTGGCTTAAAGGTAAAGCTAAGTATCAATGGAACGTGTCTGGAAGGGCTTGATCATTCACAGGAGGTAGGAAGTGAGCTAAGGAGAACATAGCCAGGGATTTAGGTGATCAGGAGCCATATGTGTTTTGCTGCAGCTCTGTGACATAGATGAGGAAAGGCTCTCTTGAGCCTTTAGGAGCTCATTTATTCTCAACAGATGTGAACCCACGGTCTTCCTACGGGCAATGGTCCCAATGAGAAGTTCAGACTTACAGGGTGCAGCAACGCATTGCATCTCTGCTACAGCTGCATCTGTAGCAATTTTCTGTCCTTGAGATTTCTCCAAAGGGGTATAGTTTTCCATCCAGGATACAGCCTGCACAATACAGCAGCAAAAAAAAAGTTATTTAAGCCTCCATGTAAAGGCTGACAAGTTTTAAAATAGCTGTGAGTCTCCTGGAAATTCTCTGTCTTGATAATGGTAAAGTAGAACTCGTTCTGTTCTCCTGGCTGCTACTTGGACCCTTTTGAGAGCCTGACCCTGTTTCCTCTTCGTTTCTTAGAGATTGTTTCAGTGTGACAGATCTGGGGTGGATCGTTTCAGTGTGACAGATCTGGGGTGGAAGTGAGCAACCAAGCGGGCAGGGCTGCTATCTGATGTCGCAATGTATTTGGAAGTACCCTCAGCTCCACTAGCAGCTCCGTGTGCTGAACAGCAGAACTAATATTGCTGCAACTACAGCCAGGGAAACTGGATGCTGGAACCTCCTGTTCAGGTCTTTCTGATATCTTCCCCCCCTCCCTAATGTTTCAGGCCCTTCCTGGCAGTTCCTCATAGAGCTCAGCCAATTCAGAACTCTCCCTGTTCTTACCTTCGTCAGATTCCCCTGGCCTGTTTATTTTCTGAAAACAGTACGCATCACCCAGTGCCACTATGATGCTCGTTGCAAGAAGGAAAGCCAGAAAGCCCTTCTGTAAGAGAGAGACACAGCTCATTGCATACATTTAATTCCTCTTTGATTATCTTTGTTTTGAAAAACACATGGAGACATTGTAAAAGGGACCTCCTAGATATTTCATTGCATTGATGGCTTTTCCCTTAGATGGGAAGAGACAAAACGATGTAACATAAATGTGTTTGCAATATCACTTTGTGTTAAGGCCCAATCTCTAGTAAAATCACAAAGAGCCTCAATACTAGTATACACTTGAAAGCCATATCAGACACTATATCAGTGCTTTATTTAGTGCCTTCAAGTTAGATTTAGCTATTTCTCCTGCAAATCGCTGTCTGTGTAGCATCTCATTGTTTTGCAAGGATCTGGGTTTCCTAAAGATATAATGGTTTTGGATCTTGCTATTCCTTAGTCAGGGCCCTAACTTTTAAGCACGGCAGTTTCACCAGATCTGACAGTGGAGTGGAGATCTCAGACCGAATTACATTCCAGCAAGTTTTGTGAAATGGTGACTGGGTAGTGAAGAGAGACACGAATTAGTGTCTTAGGGCAGAATTCCAGAACTGTATATTCTGCTTAGAAGCACGTGAACCATCTTGTCAAATTGTGCACACATAGGTTTGGACATGCCACAGTATATCCTTTGCCTTGCCTGGCGGTGGCAACAGCTAAACATCTTTAAAAGCTCTTAGGAGATGTTAGCTTGGACCTGCTGAAACTCCAGGACTTCACTGAAAACGCCTTTGTGATTTTGTATGGGCTATTATGCCAGAGTAGTGGGATTGAAGAAGCATGAGAGAGCACAGGATTATTTTGATTCTTTCCTCAAGAGGGACAGCTTCAGGCAAAAGTTTAGGAATGGCCGGAGACTGAGAATGAGTGGAGGAACTTGTTTAAATTTTCTTGCTATCATTTGCAGATTAGCACAAAAGCATTGTAAAATAAATAGATCTTTCCAGGTACTGTTCTGAACAGCAGAGGCTGTTACTTCTTGAAAGTGTGGTTAAAAGTAGCAGTGAAAGTCTTTGTTTCCAGAAACAACTTTCCTGCCTACCTTGGGTGACTTGAACCACGAATGTCAAAAGACAGTGAAAGGTTCAGAAACTTAGGGAGATGGTGAGCCAAGGTGAATTTCCTGTCTGCTGTGGAAGATGCTTGCTATTTTAATCCCTGAAACACTGCATTGCTAGAGGGTGGAGGGATATTTATGGTGTAGTGAAAGGGAGGATAAAGGGACTACGGAATAGTCTGGGGAGGGTGGAATGCTCTGTGTCCATAGTGGTTCTGTACTTCGGAGTTACTGAGGCTTTGGGGTTGAATGGAGCCAGTTGCCATGCTCAGCACCATAGCCAGAAAGATAGAAGTCAACAAGAGAGACAAACTCTTAAAACATATCATTCCATGATATCAGGCCAAAGCAAAATTGTCTAAGTAACTCCTGTACTGCGAAGTTATGGGAGAGCACATAATATTGCAGCCTATCTCTGCTAAGCCTCTGCATGCATTTGGCATGGATCTGTAAGACTGCCTGCTATGCTGCTGCCTGGGGCTTCGGGAGTTCAAGGGATCCTGGCCTTCCACAGAGGATCTTGACGTGCTTGGGATACTGCTTGCTGTATGTTAGCTGCCCTGAGCATGCTGGGTTTGGGGGTGACCTTCCTCCACACTGGTTCAGCTGTTTGCAACAGCACAGGCCAGGTCTGCCAGAGGTCTTACTGTTGTCACTCATGCCTTTACAGCAACAACTAGAATCCTTCTCTTTGCCCTCGGCTGCCTACTGTGAATGTTTTATCGTTTGTTTGCTCTAATGTTTGTCCTTCTCTTGCTATTACTAAACATGCCAGTCAGCTGAACTTGGACATGCTCCTCTGTCTAAAGAGCAAAGTTTTGGATCTTCCACTGAATCAACACAGAAAGAGAAGGGGAGGTCCATGGTGTAATCTGTGTCTGAACTGGCCTTATGCTGGAACAACCAAAGGATACATCAGCTAAGTAACAGTTATTTAGCAGAAAAAGGGCCCACATGTAAGTAAGCTGAGTCCAGAGGGTATCACAGCAGTAAGAAAGCACTGGCAGAATCAGTATCCTTCATCAAAAATGGGAGAGATTATTACTCTTACACTAATGCCAAGAAATCTTAGTTAAACCTCAAGGCTGTGTTGTTCTAGGCTTTCCACTAACGAAGTACTCAAAGAAATGGTTTTTTTGCTTCATATATTTCGCTCCCTTAGGAAGGAGATGTCATCAGTCATCTCGCAGAACAAAATCTTCCAAATTGGATTCAATAGCCTTTGAAAGTGAATGAGTTAATGCGGAATGAGACACCAGGTCACCTTGTCCAGCCAAGCATTGTCTATCTGAGTATAGACAACCACACAGGAAAGTTTAAGCAGAGAAATAAGTACATGATAATTTCTCAATTTATTTACAAATCTATGTATGTTACAGAAATTACCACCTCTTTTGTAAAACTTATCCCATTCCTGAGATTGTCATCAAAGGTAACATTTAATAACTGTACATGTTGGGATTATGTGGGCATAAATTAGCAAAAACTAGGTGACAGGGTTTTGTGTATCTATTTAGCAGTGCCTAACTGAATCAGATTCTGCAAACACGTTTGGAAGCTTGAAGAGCTGAATCAGGACATCTCTTGATATATCGAAAGAGAAATACAGACAGAATACACTGTGCAATATATATTTCATTGTATGGGTACTGTATTTTATATGTATTTCACATCTACAGCTCTTGAAAGCATGCTCCTAAAAGTTTACAAAATTGCAAAGACTTTCACAAAGGAAGCATTTCTGAAAAAAGGATAACAGCAGGTAAAGGATCCAGAGGTATCTTTGTATAGCTTCTTGCAAACAATTACAAACCAAAGAGCAAAATTCACTGTCAGCTTCATAAATGTCTCATTTTCTTTGCATCTTCTAACAGTTTTTTAATAAAACATAGTCACATTGAATAAATGTGTAATTAGGTGATTCTCTTGAATACCCTTCTCTTGCAGTTTTAACGCAAATACCTTAAAAATATCTAAAATATTGACTTACCATTGTACAACGTGTGGATTCCAAAGCACTCCAAGTCTCCGGATGAACTCTGCAAGTGCTTTAGGTAGAATCTACAAGCAGATAGTCTATGGTGCCTTTATATTGAGCAATTCAAGTCTGTAAAAATAGCTTGCTCAGCTCAAATGCAGTTATGTTGAAATTTCTGAGGAAATCACTGACATCTGGCCAGCTGGTTATGAGAAAGTGTTTGATTCTGTAGAGCACTGACCCAGGCAAAGGGTTGAACTAGGGACTCTCTATTCCTTGTAAACCTTATGATTAGACTAAGTACCTTTCTGATGAAATTCAAGTACTGACAGGCTTTCAAGGTAAGCTGGCATAGAGAGCTGTAGGCAGTATTATATGGTTGGTAGGTTGCCTTATTAGTCCAGGGGATTTTTAGCTTTGGTGGGAATGCTGATCATTTCTTCTTTCAGTGGACTGGGACATGCTTAGAGTGGGAAAGTAGGAGCTTAGAGACCTTTTGCCAGATCTCTGATGTATACTCATATTTAATGCTACATTTTGTTACTTGGTCATTTTCAGTATCAAAACCTCTTAACATTCAGATCTTAGTCAAAGCTGAATCACTACCACATCTGTACTTTTCCTCAACTAAAATAAATAATTCCTCCCATGTCCAACACCTTTTGTTCCTGTAGGACTTTTCAGGCTTTGGTTTGAGTGGCTGTGATAGAATATGTAATCACTTTTATACATGCAAAATGCTTTCACAAGCATTGATATATCTCGGAGTGCTAATCAAATACTTTACTTTCTCCTGCTCCTGCAACCTCAGTGCTCCTTTTCAGAACAAGATCAATAAACTATAGCCCTGCCCATGTTTCAACGACAAATGCTCCATTACAGATGCTGACAACTAATTGGAAATTCATTCCCATGGGACACTCAACAGCTACAGAAGTTTGGCATTTCACTTTAAGATCACTTTTAGAAAATTTGGACAAATAAAGACAAGAAAATTATGTTTTATTATAAGCCAAATAATTGTGGGCTTATTTGTTCTGAGAGTAAATTAAACAATTCACAGAATGGCTGTAAATACTTTGGAGTGGTGGAAAGGAATGTTGTCATTCATTTCCTCCTGTGCACAGGGTATATCTGAGTACTAACAATAATTTAGGTATGATCTTCTTGGAGGAAACGCTGAGGCTGAAGCCTGTGCAGTTTTGATTATTATTGAGTAAGAAATACATAATTCATTAAAAGTTTCTAAGTGTTCCATTTTACAGACTTCACAGCTGATTCTTTTTTTCCTGTTCTGATATAATCACCACATGTTTTAACACTTTCATTTTATGAAAATCATGTTTAGATCATTGAGAAAATTCAATAGTTTCATTTTTCATCCTTTGCTCCCTGCATACTACTTAAAGAAGTCTTGTATTATCAAAATCTTCTTTCATCTGTGCTTATAGACTGTCAGATGTTCTCTCAGATGAAACACAGTGTTTTTAGTCTTCAACAGTTTAGCATAGACTTCATTCTTGTAACCCATTTCTGAGCAGTCCCAATTTGATAGTTTCTCATTTTAAATCTGAATATATAACAAGGGACAAAAGTCTGCCTATTCTGTGGAAGTGACCCCAGACACTATCAGTGGAGATAATGCCTCCTTTCATCTATAAGTACTTCCCTGTATATACTGGGAAGATCTGCAGACTGATCTACTGTCCTAGGCACCAAATATCTGGGTGCTCAACATTTGCTTTCCATCCCTAAATCCTTTTGAGGGCTACTGTTGTTGAAACGGATTTTATATTTTACAAAATTCACGGATTCCCTTTGAAACCTATTTGTCCTGTTACAGCATTCAAAAAGATGCCAATATATGCATTTGATGTTCTGAGAATTAGCAGTAAGGGATGCCATTATATATTGGCTCCCACTAACTACTGATTCTCCTAGTCTATGCCTACATTCTTGCTTACAGATGTGAAGTTTTTATACTTAGTCATCTTTAAAATATGGATTATGAAAGCGCAGTTTGCTTCCAATCAAGATGACCTGACATAGTCATTATCTTTCACATTAAGCATCAATTGCAAACTCAATCACCAATGATTTTATATTTTCTCCTGGATCACTTGATATAGGTGTTCCACACAAGTGTAGAGAAAGTATAGACCATGCATACCAACCTATGGCTTGCCGTCTCTGAATGCAAGACTCTACTGATGATCAGAAAACATTTTTAAGGCTTTGTTGGTATGATGATCACTAGAGATTTCATTCTTAGTGTTTACCTAGTTTCCCACCTGAATGCTGCTAAACGTGTCAGGTCTCTTTCAGCTTCTTATGAAGCCCTTTCTCTGAAGTGTTGAGAAACTATGTTGTCTCAACTGTATTGAGATCTGGGGAAATCCCTGAAAAGGTCTTTCTGTTCGGACACCATGGTATTTTCTTTTTAGTACTTAGAAGCACTTTTCTTGAACCTTCCTACTGATAGCTTATGTTCTTTCTGTGCATTTCTGCAGCGAGGACAATGATCTTTCCCAAACAAAGGCTTAGCTACTTTATAGGGGTGGGACCTATGCTTGTCACCTAGAAACACCTTTCTGGTTCTCCCATTTAGACTGAAAAAAATGTACATGGGTTGAGGTAAGGTAACTCATGGTTTTCTACGTCTGCAGGACTCTGTCCTGCTCCTGGGACACAACAACTGGATGGATATTGTGAACAAGAAATTGGCTTGTGGACATGTATTATATCAGTTCCTAGTACAGAGGTTAAAAGAGAAGGAGGTTTGAAGAAGTGCCTGATAATATAACAGGTACAATGCCAAATGTGCTACTAAAACATGCAACATAAGTGACCTCAAGGGCTCAAAAAACAGAAAGCTATCTTTAAAATCTAGAATTTTTTAAAAATAATATTTTGGGTGTGGGGAAGAGGAAATCATTAGGGATTTTTTAGCCTATGCGATTCATGTTTTCTAGCTTCCCTTTACAATCACAGAGACTGGAAAATGGACATTTTAAAGTTCAAAAGTGACTCCAGGTCTTCAAGGAAAATGCAAATGCCATAGCATATTTTATAAATATACAAGAGCTTTCAGTACTGAAGACACAGCTAGCAACAAGGACTTATCTCTGGAGGGAGGATTAAACCCAGCGCTTCTTCCCTGTGAACCCAGTGGTTGGTTTTGATTTAGAGCACTTGTCTTACCCAAGCAGGCTCTTTGCGAGTACAGATGTGGGGGCCTGAACAAGGCAAAATCCCGAGCTCATAACTGAGCCAGATGTCAAAACAGCAATAATCTATTTCATTTCTGAATGATATGGAGCCCCAGTTGTGTCATGCAATGTGGCTTATTAGTGTCAGTGTCTAATGTACATCTCTGAGCTGCTGAGCTCATGAAAAGTTTGTGTTGTCTATCAAAGCTTTGCTAATATTCAGGAGTCTGGAATATCCTCACGTGGAACAAAAGGATCTCCTGAATACCAGTCCCTACCTTGTCCCCCCAGCTGACAAATGGTTATTTTCAGAAGAAACTGTTTATCCAGTCTGTGGCAAAACCTATTCAAACTCTCAGTTGCCTTTGTCTGGAGCTGGCTGGACAAGCAAGTCTCCCAGCCCACCCAGCCCACCTTGTGGGGCTGGAACAGCAAGCAATGCTCACAAGCTGGCTAACTACAGTGCAAAGCAACAAAAAGAAGTTAAATTCACCTTCTCTGAGGGGTGTGTTAAATCTTATTGGGTTTATCTGGAGTGATGGAAAGGAAAGTGATGCCATTTATCCTTGCCCTGCCCCCACAGTCCTGGCAATTTGCAGCTCAAGTCAATCTGTTGTTATCAGGCCTTTTATGATGTATGTCTATAGAGCTAGAGAGAGACAGAAAAGCCTCATTCTTCTGGTTTCACTTCCAGTCCATTTAAAAAGTTCCTCATTAAATTGATGTAAAACCCAGTGTGAATGCTCTTCTTATATTTTAAGCCTAGCATAGTTTAGGCTGATATAAACTTACCATAGTTTATGTACGTTCTCTCTCAGCTAACAGAGACTCATTTTAAGTCTAAATGAGTTTGCACTGGCTTCAGTAAACTAATTTCATGTCACTACTTGTAAACTAATGCAATTCTGACTATAAACAAGAGTTTAGAATTATATTCTTGGAGGGAAACACAGTATTACAACCTACTCTACTAGATATGCTACTGTTCTGGTCAAAAGAAGCCACTTCTGTGAAGCAAGGTTGACATATATTCTGCAGCAGCAGACCATCAGCAGCAGTTAAGAAGGTGTGATGCTGCAGTGGCTTTAGAGGCAATGCTGTTCCTACAAGGAAGGATTCTCTCAGCATGACTATACACACACAGGACCTAGCAGGAATTCTTTGACAGGGCTCTAGAATTACTTTGCAGCTTTTATGCCCTTTGCAGCTGCCTTCAGCTGTTCATTTAAGTATGTACAAATGCTGATGTTTCCAGTTTCAAATAAAAAGGCATATACCTTCCCCTCCTTTTGAAATTAAAAAAAAATGTTAACAATACAAATGTTCTGATTTTCCATTACAAAAAAACTGTCCCTTTCAGATCCTGCACAGCCAGAAGGCAGACGTCCTTGTAGGTGGGTTAATACTTGGCAGGAGAACAAGTATTTTGCAACGTTGACTGCTAATTCCAATAAATGCAGATAAATATTTGCTTGGAAATCACATAGATAAGTAAAGTTTATATACATAGGAAATAGAATTATTAGCTCTAATAGATTCAAAGCCCACTGAAGAACGTTGGAAACCTCCTGTTGACTTCTGCAGTCTTCGGATTAGATCTCAGGACTTGAATCAAGCAAAGCACTTGAATATATACTTTGCTTTAAACATGTGAGTAGTTTCATTGCCCACAGTGGAGCCACTCCTTGTTCTCAAACACATGCTGGCAGACAGCTTCATTGAGCCAAACTTAAAACACACACTGAGAGTCATCCTGTTTCTGGATTGCCTTATCAACTGTGATATATCAATTAGTATGGAGAGTGTATTTCTTGACCTGCTTACAAAAGAGAGAGGACAGCATTATTATTTCTTGTTTCAAAGTCTTGCTAACAAGTGAAAGGGAAAACCATAGGACTGTGATTCAGGACC